ATATATATATATATATATATATATATATATATATATATATATAGAGAGAGAGAGAGAGAGAGAGTGCTGTAAATATAGCTAGACATTTCTATACTTGGATATTCAAACTCACAAATACTGCTCGAAACCAAACGAAGAAAGAATTAATTAAATTGAAATAAACATTTGTTTTAATACCTATCGAATAAATACTTTCTGATCATACTTTTTCTCTTGCTTATCTTAATGAGTCGTCGGTTAATTTTGCGCGTCGCATGCTCCCACTTAAGATTTCGCGGCAGTAGTTGCGGTCAGTCACGGATCGGACGCGGCCCGACTCCAATTTACCTGTCCGACAGTCGCTCGCGTCTCGACGAGAGAGCGTTTTCCCCGGTGAGCGTAATCTGTTTCCAATTAAGGCGCGGCGTCGAGTCGATCGTTCCGAACTTCGTGGCAGGTTGCATTACGGTGGCCTAACGCTGCGGCTGATTTGTGAGTCGCTCCACGAGAGAGGCGAGAGAACTGCAGCGGATTAGGAATAGCTCCGGCTCTGCGGGAACGACGGGTCGTCCGCGTCGTTTCCGCGCCGTCGTTAATCATTCGGCTTAAACCGCGGCGCGAGTGTACGCGCGCGCGTGTGTATATGTATGTGTGTGTGTATACATGTTAATATACGGATGTGTGAGAGTATATACACTCGCCGTGGCGGAATTACTGCGCTCTTCTTCGGCTAAAGCTGCTCCGACGAAGAGTTGACTTTCCCGACGATAGTCTAATAGGTAACGCTTATTTGTACGAGCTGCTCTTCGAAGAAGGTTGATGTATAAGAGGTACCGCGACATAATCGTATCGCACGTTAGATATGCTTCCTGCAATTACACGGGTATTACACTTCTGTTAGCTCGTATCGACCACCTCCTATCTGACGGAAACGTGGAAAGGAATTTAGGAATTCTGACCGCGACGTAGTTCGAAAGCTTACGAGTGTTCCGGCTTAGTGCGCCAACTAAAATCCTATATTAAGATTCTGTTAAAGCCCGCTTCAAATTAGCCGAAGATGGTAGATATCGCACGAACACAGTCGCGCAAGATTATACAGAGCATGTTGCTGCTCCACCTTCCAGCGTTCCTTTCAAATTGCATATTCTTTTTAAATCGATATCGCGCCTCGCGTAAAATTCGCGGTATTTTCGGTATTGAACGTTATGACAATTAAGTCAATCGGATCAAAATTTTCTCAAAGAGTCCTGAAAATCAGATAAATGATATCAATGATTAATTATTTTAAGGCTCTTTAAAATTCTTAATCGTGTGAAACAATAACAGATCTACGGGAGCCGATTAATCAATTTTCGTAACACGTTAATTAACAGTTGACAGGATTCTCTCTCTCTCTCTCTCTCTCTCTCTCTCTCTCTCTCTCTCTCTCTCTCTCT